CGTACATTACGTGATAGATCGTGATGATGTAGGATTAATAAATTGATTATACTAAATTTATCATGCTGATTATTATTATTATTATTTAATTTAGTAGCACGGTACAATTGTTGATTAATTGATCGATATTTATAACGAAAATATAGGCACATTAGCGACCATATTAATACACCAAAACATGGTATACTAAATGCTACCAGGGTCCATCCCATGGTGGATAGTGTACCCAATAGGACAGTTAGCCCAGTAAAATCACCAGCTAAATAAGCTAGCATCATTAAACCCATGGTATATACATTGAATACCATGACCAATGACCAATAGGTATAGTCTAGTAGCAATCGGGTTAACCATTTGAATATCCAGGCCAATCGTGTTTGTATTACCCGATCCATGGGCAACAATCGGGCCAGTCTACCGTATTGCCATTGATCCAGATAGTCTAGTATGGGCAACTGGTGTCGGGTGTATTGATATTGGATGGTCAGATAGATTAGTAGCATAACCACTGCACAATCGGCTAACATATACGAGCCAAATGTTTCCGGCAACTATATCTGATAGAGTGGATCGCCTACTAGTTGGCGCATCCATTGATTATCTACCAGTGCTGATAGTAGATAGCGTATAATATATAGGAGTTGTATTGTATCGACTATAATTATGGATACTAGACGTCCAACTGGTATATGATTTAAATAATTATAATAATAATTATTATTATTATTATTATTGTTAAAAGTATTAGTATTGATATAATCGCTATAATTTGATATTAATATACAATATTTTATACCAAAATTAATTGTTTTTTCAATTATTTGATTCATTAATATTTAAGTTATTAATTAATTATTTTAATGTAATTATAATTATAATTTATAAATAAATAATTAAAACATATGAATTAATAAAATCATATTAAATATATTTATTTATTTATAATTATTTGGAAACTAAAAACTAGAATTTATTATTATTATTATTATTATTATTATAAAATACTTTATATAAAAAAACTTAATGTTTAATATTTTATCAAAAAATAAATATAATAAATAAAATAAATTTAGTATTATATAAATAACTTTATTGATTCAAAATAAAATTATTAGTTAATCAATAATAATAATAACGAAAGTTATCATTATTTATGTTTACAATAAAATGCAGAAAAATAATAATAATTTAATTGTAAATTTTTGAATAATTTTATTTATAATAATATTATAGAAAATATAATTGAATAACAATATATAAAATAAATTTCTAATAATATATTAGATTATAATTATATATGTATTAATGTACAATATTTTATGCAAAAAAATAATATTATTTTTATCTATTATTTTATTCATTAATAGATCATATTTTTATTTTTTTTAATAAAGTTATTGAAATAATTATTTTTAGTAAAATTTAATAATAATATATGAATTAATAAAAATCATTAAAAATGTATAATTATCTATAAATTAAACTAGAATTTATAATTGTTAAAAAACTACTATTTTATATTTTATCTAAAAAATTGTTTAATTTAATTATTCAACTTAATGATTCAAAAAAAATTAGTTAATCTATAATAATTAATTTTGTAATAATAATAATAAAAAATATAACAATTTTAATCAAAATGGCAGAAATTTATTTTTTTTTAAAAATAAAATAAATAATTTTAAATAAATCAATTTGTAAATTTTATTTAATTAATTTTGATAAAATTTATAATAAATAAACATATATTTAGATCATTATCATATCATATATAAAATTAATACATCAATTGTAAGGTAGGGTTATCGGATGGGGGAAGAGAGGCGGGGAGGGGGGAGGGGTTAATCAAACTAATCAAACATATTAATCAATAATAGAAATCCAAATTAAAGCCAACCAATAACATTGTATCCAAACTATAAAAATAAATGTTTAAATTTTTTTAAATAAAAAAAAAAGTTAATTAAAAAGCAAGATTGATAAAAAAAAAATTATATATAGTATATATATTGTATAATTTTTTTTTATACATACTGTATAATTAATTACTACTAACCCATTCACTAAATGACCCATCTCCCATCTTTCGCTATAACTTTGTTTAAACGTTTGCACTGGTAGTTAAAACGGATGCACCGGAACCGGTACCGTCATCATCATCATCATCATCGGTAGTGACAACCAAATTGAGCAAACTTTACCGACAAAACTATTGAATCTAAACCGCGAATATGTGAGCCGAGCTCAGGTATGTTAGTCATCAAGATGTTCATCAGTTTTTCAATATGACTGACTGACAATAGTGTTGACGCCTTTAGTGAGTCTGATTTGATTATCAAAAAAGTTTGTCTATCTTTTTATTAATCAATTTCAGACAACTGTGCCCATCACTGAAACTACCGGCTCCAGTATTGCCATTGATTTTGGCCGAACATTCACGACATTCATAAAGTGGTCGTTGTTGTTGTTGTTGCTGCTGCTGTATAGCCGGCGGACAGTTGTCTGTGAAATGTTTAGCCAAATCTTTTACTTGAATCACTTGATTACAGGTGCTGTTTGAGCACCGAATCATGAGTTCATCTATTATTGCCTGCAGTCCGGGCATTACTGTCCAACCGTAATCAGTAGCCTTACAGATGGGACAGTTAGTTCCAGAGGCCAGTGTCCAACAGGCAAAACAAATACGTAATCCACAGCAAGTGGACAGTTTGGAGGCGCCGACAAGCATATGGCTATCATTGGCACCACATTTAACCAAACATTTTATCTGACTGTCCACCTCATCGCCGATTAACTGATCAATAAGTATGGGTGCAAACATTATAGCTAAAAATTAAAAAAAATTATTATTATATTATAGACAACAACATAAAATATGTTTTTATATATTACTTATTATAACTATTCTATTGATTTAATTTACAAAATTTATAATAAATTTTATATTAGTAACAAAAAAAAAACTGAAAGAAACCAAAAAAAATAAATAATTTAATGAAACAAAATTGGTTTCAATATCAAGCCTTTAAATAGTTTTTTTTTTTTTTTGAATTATATATATATATTATTTTGCAAATTGTTTAGTAAATTCTAGAAACTATTATTAAAATTTAGTGATTTTATGTGGAAAATAATTATTTATTAACAATTTTTTTTATCAACTATTAGTTTATATATATATATAGTATTTTATATTAACTTAATTAAAATTATGAGTCAAATTTGATTTTCATATACAGTATATATATAGTGAAAATAAACAAAAAATATATTAATAATTAAAATAAAATTTTTATATAGTATTCATTATTCAATAAAATTGTAAATTAATCATTATATTAGTCAACAACAGAAAAAATAATTTCAATATTGAGTTTTGTTTTTTTAAACAAAAAAAAATAAAATAAAATATATTCACAGTTTAGTTGTCAATAAATTACTAATATATTATACCCTGAATACAGTTATTATTTTAAGACTAATATTTTACTCATTATATTACTATATAAAAAAATAATAATAAATTTTTAATAAATATATAATTTTTGCTTTATAATTGATAAATAATTTTTTTTTAAAAAACATTTAACTTATATATTGTTTAAGTTATGTTAATTCATAATAAAAATAATAATATTAAAAAATATATTTATTTAATTAAATTATTTTTTAATTTTTACTATTTAAGATTTACTGTTGAATACTAATATTTTTTTAGATATTTTAATTTATTATACTCTATATATATATATATATATATATATACAGAATATATAAGGTTTATAAACATATTTACGGCAATCGATGATTATTTGTTGTATTAGTTGCTGTTTTCGGTAATTGTTGACCACTGTTAGCATATTAGTGATGGCCAGCGGTGGCCGTCGTAACTGTTGGACAGTTAGCGGCCGTCTATCCAATGGACATCTACTAGAAGGTTGTCTACCATTACCACCAGCACCTGTATTGCCTGTAAGCCATCGGTGAATACATGGACGACAATACAGTCGACGGCAACACTTGGTTACTACCGGTTCGCTAATGTTGACCACTTCCAGACATATACCGCACATGAGTTCACTGGATAACTGGTCAACGATTTGTTTGGTTGTTATCGCTGTCACTGTAGACAGTGGTATAGGTATAGGTATAGGTAGTAGTGGTGGTGATAATGGTGTAGACATTGTAAAAGTTATAAACTAATCGATAATAATAATTAATTTAATTAATTTAATATATAAATTATTATTTTCTTAACTAATTTACTAATTTTTTAATAATAATAATCTAGTATTATTTGAATTAATTATTTAGTTGAAAAAATTTATTTTATTTTTTTAAAAATATATTTAAACAAATACTTGCTATTTATATACTGTATTATTAAATATATTGTATATATAATGTTAATCACTTAAATTGTTGTTGTTTTTATAATTTTGTTTATTAGATTTTAATTTATAATAAATATTAAGATTACAACTACAAAAAGATTAGTAGATATTTATTATTGAAAATTATAATACTTTATATATTAATATATATATATTAATAGCAGAACAGATTATTTATTTAAAGTATATAAGTAAACAGGTATCTAAATAATAGATATATATTAATATATATTTGATTATAAGTTTATATATATATGAAATATATATACAATATATATTTAAATATATCATATAATTAATGTATAAATTAATTAATATAAACAAAAGCTAATAATAACTTTTAAAATCATAATTTTTATTTTAATTTATTTAATTAGTATTTCCTAAATATATTTACTGTAAATATAAATATATATAATAATTATAAATTATTGATTATTAATAAAATTAATTAATAATAATTTATTTTGAAAAAACAAATACAATATATTTTTTATAAAAATATATTAACAAAAATAAATAAATTTTGATAAATTAACAAATTTATAATTAATATATATATATATATATTTATATTAAAATTAAAAAATAAATAACATTTTTTGTTTTTGATTAAATTAATTAAAATTTATTTAGCCTTATATATCAAAATATTATCAATTAAATTAAGCCATATGGTAGTAATTAGGGGGGTGGGGCCGGGGGGTAAAATGTGGGCCATTAGATGTCCACACATTTTAATATTTAACCATAAAATCCATAACCATATCCACTAAAACATAATTAATAAAAATATAATAATAATAAAAAAATTTAGCTAGCTAATAAAATTTTTATTTGTAGTATTTATATAATATTTATAATACTAACCGGCCATAGCCTAGACCATAGCCTCCACCATAACCGCCACCATATCCTCCATAACCGCCATAACCACCGTAACCGCCATACCTTTATTTTTACCCAAAAAAAAAATAAAATAATTTTTACATAAAATTAAATTACAAATAATTTTTTTTAAAATTGTTAATCAAAATTTTAAAAAATAATTAGTTAGTTTAAGTATATATATATATATTAATAGATTTAAAAATTTATTATTTTTTTATTAATTTTTATATTAAATTACTTAATAAATCCAGCGTTTGCTGATTGTATGGTCAATAGTATGGCCACTATAAGTGTGGCAACAATCAATGTAATCAAACGATACATTATTATTATTATTAATATTAGTTAATAACAGTAATAATTAAATTTAATAATTAATTAAACAATTTTGTTTGTGTTATTGAAAATTAATTTCTAGTGGTTTATATAGTTAATTGAAAATAGGATCTATTTTTTTTTGTTTTGTTTGTTTTTTTAAATTTTTTTTAGTATTAATTGTATTTTTAATTATAATTGTTATTATTATTATTATTATTATTATTATTATTATTATTATTATTATTATTGTTATTATTAATAATAAATAATATCCTTATTGAAAATGTTATAAACAATTATTTTTTCTATTTTTTATTTTACTTTTTATTTTATTTAGATTTTAATTTGTTATAATTAATATTAAATTAGTTTATTAATAATAAAAAAAAATATTTTTTACTTATAAAATCATTATTTTTATATATATATATATATATATTAACAGTAAAAACTATTTTATCAATTAAATGCAACAAAAAATAAATAAATAAGTTTTCATAAAATATCAAATATAAATTTTAGATTGAATTTTCAGATATTAATAAATAATTTATTTTATATATATTTAAATCAATTGTAACAAACTATTTTAATAATACTAAAAATAAATAATTAATAAGTTTTAAATTATTTATTTAAAAGATATATTTTTATTAGTAAATAGTTATTTTTCCAGGATTTATATAAATAGTATTTATATTAATATTGTTGTTGTTATTGATTTTAAGGAAAACTAATATTTTAATAATAATAAAAACAATGTTAATATAATATAAAGTTATAAATAATTGCTCATTAAATATAAATAATAATTTTAATTTATACAAATATATTATAATTTTATTTATCAGATAATTAGCAAATATGTCTAAAATTAATATTATTTTTTGATATGTGTGTGGATTGACTTAAACTAAGTTTATATTGAAAAATAAAACTATTTATATTTGCATTAATAATATATTGATTTGAAAATAATTGTTTTTATTTACTATTTATATACTTATAAAATATTTATTAATCAATTAATTTTTAATAATTAATAAATATTAAATATTAAATTTAAACAGTATATAAACTTTTTCATATAAATCCTACAAATAAACAATTAAAATATTTTATTTAATAATATTAACAACAAAAAAATTATATATTTTAATTTAAATAATTAGAAACATATGATAATTTATTTTAACATTTTATATATTAGACATTAAATATATTATATAATACTATAATAAAAATAACTATAATAAACACAAATTTATTTACTTTTAATAAATTAAAATTGAATTTATATTTTTTCATATTATATAAAATTAGTTATTTATTTATTTATTATTATTACTTTATTTGTTTAAATTATTCAAAAAATAGTTATACAGTTAATCAATGATTGACTTAAAAATATAACAATAATAATAATAATATTTAAAAAAAATTATAAATAGATAATAAAATTTTTAATAATTTTATTATTATTAAAAATTAATTTTTTAGCGGATCCCAAAATTACCACCATCCTTTTTTATAAATTGGTTGCTTATAAATAGTATGATAGACGGGAACTTTTTTGATGCTATTTTAATTAATTTTATTTTTTTAATAAACAAAAATTATATAAATATTTTTTTTATATTAAAAATAAATGTTGAAATTTAAATAATATTTTTTTTAAATAATTATCAATATATATATATATATATATATATATATTAGTATATATATATAAACTTACATGACCACTTTTTTGACGGGTACTACCGGGTAATAATGTTTTTGCGGATAATAATTACCGTAATAACCGCCAGCACTAGTTTCGGTGGCAAACATAAAAATTACCATGATCATTAGCATAATCATCAACATTATTGTAGATTGTTTAGAAAACATTATTATTTAATTATTTATTTTGTTGTTTATTATAAAAATAAGTTTTATTTAAATTTTTTTTTAAAAGCAATTATAATATGTTTAATAATGATATCTTGATATTTATACTAAAAATTTTTACCGGATATTAATTAGTAATATTATTATTAGTTTTTTTTAATTTTGTCACTTTAAGTTTAATTTATAGATAATTTTATTTTTCTCAATACAAACAAACATTTATTATTACATGTTTAAATATTTTATTTTTTTAAAAAAAATTAGTTTGCAATTAGTTATTATAAATTTTATTTAAGTTTCTATATTTTAATAATAATAAACTAAAATTAAATAAGTGAATAATTTTTTGAAAATATTTTTTTTATAATAATAAATAATTTAGTGTTTTATTTTAAGCTATTTTATTATTAATTATTTTTTTTGAAATAATTAATTAATTAGGCATATTTTTATCAATAACAAAATTATATATATATATATATATATGATCCAGGTCTAACCAACCATAATAGCCAATGGGGGTGGGGTGGGGGTGCCAACAATAGCATTTACCATTTACGATAGATTGGATAAAATGTTTTGTATTTATAAACTGGATAGACAGGGTAGATTCTATAATAGAAAATTAATTAATTAATTAAAAAATTAATTATTAGAAAAAAAATTATATAAATATAATGTAATTTTTTTTGATTATTATTTTATTTTTTAAAAATATATATATATATAATTACGTACACTTTGTGTCGAAAAAATCCAGCCTCGCATCCATGATGGGACAGTATGGCTAAAACTACCAGTGCCAATACATTAAGCAATAGTGTAATTAATTTGTTTGACATTGTTGTTGTTGTGATTTTAATTTTTAACAAAAAAAATTTAAAAAAAATTATTATTGTCTAGATTACTCACTTAGTCTAAAAACTAACTAATAAAAAATTATTTTTTTTTAGTTTTTTTATATAGAAATTGTTTCAAGGAAATTTTTGTCAAATTATTGACATAAAAAAAATTATATCAGATTAAATAAAAAAAACTTAAATCCTGTAAATTTTTTTTTAATATAAGTTTTATTATATAATAGATTTTTACCCCTTTTTTCAACAACAACAACAATTTCCACTAATTTTGTTATAATATTATTATTATTATTAATTATAATGTATTATATAAATGTAGTTTACGTGAGAGTATGTGTGTGTATGTGTGTGTATGTGTGTGTATGTGTGTGTATGTGTGTGTATGTGTGTGTATGTGTGTGTATGTGTGTGTGTATGTGTGTGTGTATGTGTGTGTATGTGTGTGTGTATGTGTGTGTATGTGTGTGTATGTGTGTGTATGTGTGTGTATGTGTGTGTATGTGTGTGTATGTGTATGTATGTGTGTGTATGTGTGTGTATGTGTGTATGTGTGTGTGTATGTGTGTGTGTGTATGTGTGTGTGTGTATGTGTGTGTGTGTGTGTGTGTGTGTATGTGTGTGTGTATGTGTGTGTATGTGTGTGTATGTGTGTGTATGTGTGTGTATGTGTGTGTATGTGTGTGTATGTGTGTGTATGTGTGTGTATGTGTGTGTATGTGTGTGTATGTGTGTGTATGTGTGTGTATGTGTTTGTGTATGTGTGTGTATGTTTGTGTATGTGTGTGTGTATGTGTGTGTATGTTTGTGTATGTTAATGTATGTGTGTATATATGTGTGAGTGTTTTAAATATTGATAAATATACATCCTTACAAAAATTTATTTTAAGGATTTCCTAAAAATACAAAACTTTATTATTATTTTTTTTTAAAAAAAAGATTAATACTATTTAACTCTTAAATAACTTTGTAATTCATTAGAATGACATAACATTTATACATATTTTAACTTATAATAAATTAACTGTTAAAATGTTAGCAATTTTTTTTAAATATATATTTTTATATTTAATTTAATATTATTTAATATTATTAAATTTTAGTTGAATTTAAAGCTAAATTAAACTAATTTATTTAATTGTTTTACAATAAAAAAACTGTATTTAAATGGTATTCAAAAATTTAATAGACAAACGTTATTTATGAACATCGATTATGATACACAAAAACAAACAAGTGACAAACCCAAAATATATATATATACAGGTTTACTTAGTTATATAAAACAATTATTTTTAATCATAAATAAATAAATTAAAATAATACAAAAATAATTTTCATAATAATTAAAACTAATTATAATAAATACTTTATTTTTTTATCAACTAGCTTCATATTATAATTTTTAACTTATTATTTTATTTTATTTTTGAACATGTATACTATAACGAGTGTGTTTGTATTTTTTATTTATTTAATATTTTGGTACAAACACATTTTGAAAACATATGATTAATAAAAAAAATTATTAAAAATAATATCAATATTTTAAAAAATAAAACAATTATCAATTTTTATAAACTAGCTAATTTTATTTAAAAACAATCATATATATATAAGCATATCATTTTTAAAAAAATAAATTTAAATWTTTTTAGRTAATTTTATCAATTATAAAAAAATTAAAATATATGTGTTACTAGTCGCTATTATTTATTTTTGTTAAAAATTATTATTATTATTTAWTTAATTAATTAACTATGTAAATAATTATCTATCACAAATTATCTTGGTAAGTTTTATGATATCAATTTACTTTAAAAAATTTTTAACTAATTTTTTTATATTATATWATTAATRAAATAACTAAAATTATATATTTTTTTAAAAAAWTTATTAAATAAATATMTATATATTATTTATATGTATTTATAATATCATTGCATAAATAATTGGTTTTAAAAAACATTTATTATTATTATTATTATATTAAACTTAAAATAACAATAAAAAAATAAATCTTAAAATATATTATATATTTTTTATATAAAAAATTTTTAWATATTTTTTTGACAAATAGTTTAGTTGTTTATTATTATTATTAGTTATTTATTTTTTATGTCTTAACCCTAATTCACATATATTTATATATAAAATATTTTAATATAGATTTGAGACCCGAAAACATACATAAATTTTTTTAACAAAATATTTTATATATATTTTTAACGCATTTTTTTGTTGTTGGCTTTAATCCAAACCAACTAATAATAAATRGTTTAATAAAATTAGCATTTGATTCACCCGTTTGTCGGAAAAATATATTTTTTGTTTTTTTTTAAATTTTAACTTAAAATAAATATATATTTTTCKGAATTAAAACCGAGAAAAAAATTTACACAAAAAAATATTTTGTTTTTTTTGTCGTTTACATTATTCAAGTGATAATTAAATATATTATTTACACACATATTAAGTATTATAAATGATATAATTGTTGTAAAATAAATGATAATTACTTTTATATATATATATAATGAGATATTTAGAGATTTTAATTCATAAAAATAATTTAATAGTAGTTTAAGTAAATAATAATAATAATATAATGTTTAACTAAATTTTTTTTGTTTAATAAATTTTTACTGTATTTTTTAGGATTTTTTAATAATTACATCMMATTAATAATTATTTGGCCAATGATTTACTACAATCAATAACTACGATAATAATAATAATAATAATAATAATAATAATAATAATAATAATAATAATAATAATAATAATTTATTAGTCAAACATAATTAATTAATTAATTAAAAGTTAATATTATTACAGTATTATATAATAATAATAATAATAATTGGGACCAAAAATATTTTCAAACTAATAGACAGTTTTATAYATWTTTTTWTAACWAAAAATGCTTATTTAACTAGTGATTGATTKTTATTAATTAATTACAGTTAATATAYATATATTAATAATAAAAAGTCCCAAACTTTCAACACATTTGTGGGGAGGAAACCCCCCCACCCCTGCCCACCCAATCAACAAAAAAAAATGTTATACTATTGCGGTTTCGAAAGTTTCCTGAAATTTCATCATAAATCCGGTATTAATAACATATTTTTGAGACCATTAAGCGATCTAAGATTGGATAAGAAAGATAAGGTTATCAGTGCCTACATTGGCTGGTGTTCCCTATTTTTGCATACCGGCGACGGCCAGGTAGTCTACTTGGGCTATAGTAATCCGAAAGCACAGAACAGTTTGCCGAGGAARGGRTCGACAGCTAATTATGACAACCAGAAAACAAATCGGGAAACCAATGAACTGATTGTCTGCGAAAAGGCACCGAAATATATCATTAACATCGAGTGCGGATCAAAGGAGACACTGATACTGACCCTTGACCTTAAACTTTTCAAATGGTATGTATGTATCTAGACGGGAGGGGTGGGTATCGGTAACTCAGAGAGAGAGAGAGAGAGAGAGAGAGAGAGAGAGAGAGAGAGAGAGAAAGACGGAGAGAGAGATAGAGAGAGAGATAGAGAGACAGAGAGACAGAGAGAGAGAGAGAGAGAGAAATTGACAAAATAGAGAGAGAGAGAGAGAGAGAGAGAGAGAGAGAGAGAGAGAGAGAGAGAGAGAGAGAGAGAGAGAGAGAGAGAGAGAGAGAGAGAGAGAGAGATTAATATTATAACTATTTTTGTAATTTTTTTAAGGACTGGTTTCAACTTTGCCACGAGTGAACCGCAACCCATGCTTACCACCGATGATGACTGTCTACCCGATGACCATCAGCCGTCCCCAGCGCCGACACCGCCTAATGTCGAACAAATCAGTGTCGGTGTCGAATATTCGGCAATACTGACCGATACGGGCGACGTCCGATTGCTGGACATTAACACTGGACAGCTGATTGGTGGCGGMGCCGAGCGTTTGGCCGACGGTCGCAAATGTGTGGCCRTKGCCTGCGGACAGGAACATCTGTTGGCATTGACCGATACGGGWCGGGTGTTGTCCTATGGTCGCGGTTCCCGAGGACAGTTAGGTCACGGTGATTTGGAAAATGTTGACCAAGACCGGGCCCAGCTGATCGATGCATTGGACGGTATCCGGGTTAAGGCTATAGCTGCCGGYGGCTGGCATTCAATGGCACTGTCCGCCGASGGCGATGTCTATGTGTGGGGTTGGAACGAATCGGGACAGTTAGGCTAYTCRAGGGATACACTGACAATGAAAGCCCTGCCCCTGCCGTTGGAGATATCCGATGACGAYTCGTTTAGCGCTATCAGTGCCGGCAGTCGACACTCGATGGCCATATCGGAGAACGGCATACTGTTCGGCTGGGGCTGGTATGTGTGTTTGTGAGTGTGTGTATGTGTGTGTGTGTATGTGTTTATATATGTATGTGTGTGTGTGTGTGTATATATGTGTATGTGTGTATGTGTGTGTGTGTATGTTTGTTTATGTATGTGTATGTGTATGTGTGTATGTGTGTATGTGTATGTGTGTGTATGTGTATGTGTATGTGTGTATGTCTATGTATGTCTATGTATGTCTATGTGTATGTGTATATGTGTATGTATTTGTGTGTGTGTTATGAACACATACTGTATCTTAATAATAATTATAATAATAAATCTAATTATTAATTTATTTTTAAATATACAAATAATAGGAATAAATGGGGACAGTTAGGTCTGGATCCGAAAGTCTATACTGTTTGTGATACACCTCAAGTGATACCAGTCGATGAAAAAGTATGTTATTTATTTTTTATTTAGTTTTACTTTTAGAAAAAAAACTACCTGTGCTTCTATAGATGGATAATACAATTACCGTATTTTTTTTATTTTAGGTCAAATCGATTTGCTGTAAATTCTGGTCGAGCCTTATCGAAACGGAACGGGAGCCTACACCTGATGATTAAATTTTATTGTATTGAACTGATTGATTGATTGATTGATTGATCTACCGTTCCCTATACACACGATTATGTGTCTCTCTATTTGATATAWATATATATATTTATTTATAATGGTGTCTACCGATGCTGCTGCTGCTGCTGAACACACATATCTGCTCTCTTTCTCTTATATATATATATATATATATATATATATATATGTATTGATATATTTTTGTGGCCAAAAAAATAAACTAATAGTTGCTGTCCTTATGAAACACACACACATACAGTACATATTATTACATAAAAATSTATTTATTTATTAGCATTTAATATATTTATATACTACCGTAATTCAAAGCACATGCCTACTACCCAATTGAATTGTAKGCCTAACCGAAACTTTTTTATTTTATATATAATTATATATCAGATTATATCCATTTGGTTTACATAATAGGCTAATATACATACATATAATTTGTTTTGTTTTTTTTAATTTGTTAATTAAATTACTAAATAATAATATTATTATTATAATAACTTATATATATATATATATATATAGAAATATTGTCAATACTGTACCCCCCTAACTGTGCGCTAAAAAAATCAATGATTATTCAATACAATAGACAACACTGTATTATAAAAATGCTAATTATTTATGAAAAAATTATTTTAAAAAGTAATTTTTTCTAAAAAAAATAATAAAATAAATAAATAATACTAAATATATGTATATTTAAATTACAATATAATTATATACAGGCTATACTATTTGGTAATAATTGTATTACTAGTTTATTTGTATCCTAATTTTTAATGGCACTTTTTTTTAAAAATATAACTATTTGACACTATTTTGATATATTTAAAATAAATTCAATATCTATCAACAGTTTTAATAAAAAATAAAATAAATAACTAATATAAATTATTGATTATTATTAAATATAAGTAATATTACTATAACCAGTCATAATAATAATAATAATAATAATAATTTAATGATTGTTATACATAAAAAAAATATTAAATAATTTTTTATTATTATTATTTACCGTATAAACCCGCAAATAGCCCCCCATGGCCATATGGGGCTATATGTGGAAATGTGGGCAATAAGTGAAAAATAGCCCCCCACCAAAAGTTGATTTGAATGAAATCACAAATAGCCCCACTATTGAAAATATTGTAGTTTTTTTGAATGTGTATATACCCCCTCATGCCATCTATTGACCGGTCAGTGTCTAAACTAAAACTATTAATTATAATAAACTGTAAATTTTCAGTTTTTTTTAATAATTTTTCAATTCAATGCTATTATACTGTATTTAAATGCTTTGTTTAATAAATGTTGTTAACATTATTTATGTTATGACCGATCTATATGTATGACTAAATGACTGTATGACTACATGACATCACCACTATGTATGACTACATGACTGTATGACTACGTGACTATGTATGACCTCATGTATGACTGCATTACTATATGTATGACTATAGAAACGTTTTCCTTTTCCTGTTATACATTCAGGCACTCCATTATTGTCATCAAAGTTATTACCACTTCTTGTGAGCAATGACTGAACAAATCAAATACTTTGATTCATCTGATMGGTCGCATTATGTCGTCAGTGCTGAACACATCAATTCCCACAATTGTCAACATTATCTCATCACTGGTTATAAAATGTGATTATGGATGTGGTGCGGGGTTCCCATTAATAGACCGGTCATCACATTTGGCCATTTGTGGATCAGCTCTCTGTGAGCGCAGCAAGTTTTCGATTAATGAGTTCCCTGTTCGCCACTGATTTTTTTATTAGAACAAGCAAGGATAGCTAAAGAAATTGAAGATCGACAGGTGGCCACTGAAAATCCCAATCAAGCAATTGAATTGACTGAACAGCCCGCCGGCCCGTCAAATGAAGCAATCATACAGATCGATGACCCGTAAAATGAAGACATCTATCAGATCGATGGCCCGCCATATGAAGACATCAATAAGATGGCTGACTCGTCAAATGATGCCACAAATCAGATCGATGGCCCGTCAATTGCTGACACCAATCAAATCGATGACAACATCGTTATTTATTTATGCGGCCATAATAGCCATGGATTTAGTTCTTGTTAACTACTCGGATAACCGTTTGAGAAACAGGACAGCTTTCGTGACACCATCATCTTATTGTTAGTCGTGTCCGTCAATCAGCATTTGCTTCTACAGAAAGCCGGTCCTCAAGTCAACGATTTTATAAACGCCAACAGACCGGTCATTACGGCCAACATTTCAAGAATTTTTTTAAGTTCAGAAATCGGTATTATTAACTGATACTTACCGTACAATACTTGTAATAAATAATTTCCCGATAATTCATATTTTTTCATTATTAATAATTTATGCAATACATTTAAAAATATTTTTTTCCAATCGTTCCTTCCCCCAGTCATAATAATAATAAAAATAATTTACCAAATGTTGATTTAAAAATTTTAAAAAAAAATATTAAATAGTATTATTTTTTGTTGCTATAAACGATCAAAAAAAATTATTATTACTAATAATAATAATAATAATTTTAAGCAATTATGTAAATGTTTTTATAAATTAGTAAAAAAAATAAAATAACTATTGTATACAATTGTAATTTTTTTTAAAAAAATATTTGCAATTAAATAATAAAATCAATTATTTATTTATTTTTAGTTTCAAAAATTACATAATTATTATTTTATTTTTTGAATTACAAATACACATATAWATATAAAGTAATARTAATAATAATAATAATTAGCACAAAAATAAATGAGTATATAAAAAATAGCAATCAATAGCCCCTCCCTTATCCCCCCTCTCTCTCTCTTTAAATAATTAAAACATAAAAAATATTGCCCAAAAATGCACAAAAAAAATCTTAAAATAAAATAAATATTTTATTTTATTTTTTAAAGCTCTTTATAGAGAATAGATTTGATATCGGATTCAATATCTGCCGGTTTAGTAGTCGGTGCATACCTRCGAATGGGAATCCCGTTCCTGTCGAYCAGGAATTTAGTAAAATTCCATTTAATACCGTCAAACCCTAGATAACCACCTTGCTTAGATTTCAACCAYTTATACAGGGGATGGGCATCCGGGCCGTTRACCCCAACTTTGGACATCATATCAAATCGGACGCCATATTTCTCGACGACAAACTGTTTGATTTCCTGTTCAGTACCCGATTCTTGTCCCATAAAATCATTTGACGGAAAGGCAACAATACGTAGGCCTTTGGCCTGATATTTGCCGTACAGATCGACCAGTTGTCTGTAGTTGGTGTCSGTTAGGCCACAATCKGASGCTACGTTTACCACCAATAGTACCTTTCCTTTGTATTTGTCGAACGATACCTACAGTACAGATATAGGTATATATATATATATATAATAGGGAACCGGTATGTGTTAGGTATGTCTAATAGTTTTTTAATTTTATTTTTTTTCAATACTAACTTCATTGCCGTCGATATCCATGGCCTTAAAATCGTACAAACTTTTAGCATTYTCCCAATCGTCCCGTTTTCCGGCGCCAGTAATTCCCGTTACCAGTAGTRACAATGTGTACACTACTAGTGTCACATAAATTATTACCGATTGCATTGTTTTAACAAATCAAAAAAACAAATTCAAATGTTTAACWACTAGTTATAACAACTATATCTACTACTAGACTGTTGTATTTAAAAATGTAATTTTATWAATAAAAATTTTTAATTTTTAATAAATCATATGATTATATATATATATATACTATGATTAATATGATGTGATAATTATTTTTCAAAAAATACAAAAATTATTGCTTATTAATCAACAATTTTAAAAAAAAATTAATAATTTGCTTATTTTGACATGATTACATTTTGTATTGAAATTTTTTTTTTTAAAAAAAATTTTGAATGCAAACTGTAATGTCAATAATAAAATAGATAGTTGTTTTTATACATAAATTATGTTAGTTTTATGCAAAAAAATTTTTTTGGTACCTTTTTAGATTAWACGCATGATATATGTTTAACATTTAATTTTGTTGTGTTAAAATGTAACATAAATTTATTTATTTTTTTTAAATTAGTAAATTGCCGGTATTTTATAAAAATTTATGTAAAATGTACATGTACAATTTATTATTATTATTATTATTTTTAATATATATATAATCGATATAAATTAATATAAACAATTATATTGCATATTTTTTTAAATTATAAATTTTAAATTATTAATTATTTTTTTAAAGTAACATATATACACTTAGTTTTATTTTACTAAAAAAATTAAAATTAGTTATATATACAGATAAATATGTTTTTTTTGCTAACTAAACAAAATCTATAATATAAATAATATAATAAAAATTTATTTAACATTATATTACATAATATTATATAATAATATGTTTTTATTAGAATTTTTTTTTTATATATACTGTATATTAACTTAATATAAGTTTATCACTAATACAGTAATGACTAATAAATATATACAGATAACTGAGTATTAAAGTTAATTTAGTATTAAATACTATTACATTAGAATAGAAGCTCCCATTTGAGTTGTGAAAATAAACTTTTATTAAAATTTTATGCTCCGTCAGGTGCTGACCCTGGCGAATTTATCATAAACTAAAAGCCATTTACTGTATATAAGCTATGCATATACTATACAGAATATTAACAGTAATGCTGGTATACTGTATAGTATATCTAATGTATAGGTAGTCTATTTGTACAGTATATATGTATGCGTTGTGGAGAGCAATATTTAGTACGTACTAAAATGTATGCTGCATAACCAATGCATATACTGTACAGTATATCAATAGTATGGATAGTCTGTTTGATTGATATGTATAATATTTAGTACGTACTTAAATGTTTAGTACGTACTAAAATGTATGATACGTAAGCAATGCATATACTGTACTGTATATCAATAGTATGGATAGTCTGTTTGATTGATTGATTGTATAGTGTTGTATGTATATGTGTTGTGAAAAACAATGGATATCAATGATGTTGTTATGTCGTTAAAAATAATTAAATAATATTAAATTTTTTTTATTATTTATACCGTTAGAAAGTTATAATTTAGTTTATTAAATATGTATTCAAATAAATGTGATTTTGATCGTAAGTATTTTTTATATTTTTAAATATATATATATATATAAATAACCGAAACAACTAATATTTTATTTTTAAATTAGATGTCAATATTTTGACACATATTGCAAATCAACAGAAAAATGGTCACAAAAATATGTATGAAACCGATACTCAAGAGTCCATGGAAGTGACTAACGATAACGAATAGACAGGCGTTGATTTAGATATATCTGAAGACATATCAACTGAAAACAGTTATCATCAGCCAATTGTACCGTCAATTGATCAACAAAACATGTCCTCAACTCAATCTAATTTGATACCAGTGAGTGAAGTACAACAACAGTTGAGTGAGACAATTGTATACTAAAATGTATGCTACATAAGCAATACATATACAGTACAGTATATCTAACGTATAGATAGTCTATTAGTACAGTATGTATATATATGTTGTGGAGAGCAATGGATTTTTATTCAATGGTACTTTTTAAAAATATATAACTATGCTGTTAGTTAATTAGAAAAAAGTTTATATAATACTTTCTAATATAATTATAATTGATAATAATTTAATTTTAATTATTCTACTTGTATTAGACTAAAATAATAAAATATATTATAATTTAATAATTATTAATCGTTTATAATTAAACTTATTTAAAAAAATTTCATTTTAATTTAATATGTAAAAAATTGTTTTTATATTATCGGATTTAACTAAATATTAATTATACCATATAAGACGATTCAAAAATAATATAACTAAATAAAATTTTAAATGTCATATTTTATATTCATAATTATTTTTATTTAATTCTTAATTTATATTTGACATATTTAGTATATATCATTGATATACTTAAATATAATATGTAATAAACTTTATTTTGTTACAGTTTCTGGTATTTTTTAACAACTAAAATCATTATTTATAATACATATTTAACATGACTCATATGAAACAGTATAATTGTAATAACGTAATAATTTAAATTTATATACAATTATTATATTAAAAATCTTAAAATTATACTAGCAAACTAGCTTAATATCCAAATAATATAACTTCAATATTAAAAAAATTAAAATAAATATTTGTCAGTGATTTTTATTAGACTTTATTTTGTTACAGTTTCTGTTAATTTTTAACTTAATTAAAAATACTATGTATATTTTATTTAAAGAAATAAATAAAATGTGTTCATATTTATAATATAATTACTAGTAGTTTTGATGTTAATTGCACTAAAATTTGCTACTAAACAAAATAATAATTTTAACCAATTTAAATATAAAAAGACTTATTATAGTTAGATTTATAAATTAAATAAATTAATTTTATTAAAGATTTTACACTTACAAAAATATGTTTAAAGGAATAACAAATTAATATTTACATATTTAAATAGGTATATTTATATATTTTATAATTTAATTAAATTAAACATAATTTTTATTATCATTTGTATCTTATTTCTGCTAATTATATATAATTAAATGTATAATATTTATAAATATTAAATAATATTTATTATTTTAAAAATTTATAACATTATTAATATAATATTTAATGTAATTGATTAATTTTTTCTAAAAGTTTTTATTTCATTTATTTGTTTTGTTAACAAATAAATGTTTAACAAATTTTGTATAAAAATTATTTTGTATAATTAAATATATAGTTTGATTAAAGTTTACTTGTTATTACTAATTTTTTGATATTATAAAAGATATACATTTCTATAAATTGTTTTATATAATTGCTAACATTGTTTTCAATTTAATCAATAATAAAATATTTATATTACTTTAATAAAATAAATAGACAATTAAATAATTCTAATTTTATTTTATCATTTTTAATACTAGTATCAAAATGAATAATATATAAAATAATTTCCTAAGTACTTGATTATAAATTTTAAAATCTTTATTTAAATTTTAAATAATACAAAAAAATAATCATTTCTTTTAATTTAATATTTTATGTAATGAATTATTTTTAACATTTAAAAAATTATATCTAAATTGTAATTTATATTTTTGGTATACAAATTTATTTGATTATATGTTTTGATTTATGAATTTAATTATATATTTTTTAGTTACAAAAATAATTTTTATTTCTATTTTGTTATAAATAATTATTTGAAAAAACTTCAATTGAATTAATGATATAATAAAATAATGAGTCATAAAAAACAACAGTAAGTTTTCATATAGGGTTCAGTTGAGCAAATTTTTAATACATTTATGCAGTAAAATGTTTTAGAATTTTTATACTTTATATATATTACAACTAAATAAGTTACAATAGTAATTTTATTATATTCATTTTATTGAATGTTTAAATAATATTATATAACACTCTTTTAACAAATATACATGAATTATAAGATCTGTTTTGTATTTAAATTTTGTATTATTTGTTAGCATTGATTAAAGTTGTGTTATACATGTTTAATTATATATAATTTTTTTAAAACCATTTTTAGTATTATAATAATAATTTTATATTTTATTTAGTTATTTTTAGCATTAAATAATATTAGTAATTTTATTGAAATTGTTTTTAATATTGTAAAAATTTTAAAATAATTATTTAATATATAACTTTAATTTAGTAAATAATTAATTTATATATTTATAATTTAATATTTATTGAAATTTATGTTATTTCTCATTGATATTGTATGATATAAATTTTAATGAATCATAACTAAATTTAATGCATAAAAATGTTTATGTATTTAATTATTCAATTTAATGTTAATTTTATTATAGGGTCAATTTTTATTAAAAAAAAGTTTAGCCGTATTAAAATATAGTAGATATATTATAGTGCATTATTGCATTAATAATGATTATTGATCAATACTTTTATTGTATTTGTTTCACATATAATATAATCTAATAATAGGCAAATTTTATTTAAAAACTAAAATATAAAAGGAAAAGCATTAAAATGAACTATTAATCACAAAACTAATTTAATACATATGCATTTAGTTGAGAGTATAATAAAGTTTAATTGATATTAGATATTTTGTGTTTATTTTTATAATTTATTTAATTAAACTTTATTTAAAAAATATTTGTAGAATTTTTTTATAGAAAAATAGATATGCAATGAAATAATTCTCTACATCTACATCTATCCAACATAAATAGCTATAAATATTTATAGAAATAATAAATCATAATCAACTTACAAAGCATTTACCATAAGAAAAATTATAAAATAAAAATAGATATATAAATTTATTTATATATATGTGTGAATTACAAAATCAATTTTTTATTATAAAAATTAAAATTTTAATTTAAAGTTTATAAAATGTTTTAGATTTAAAATAATTTTTTATTTATTTTAATATATTCTAATTAATTTTTGATTAATTAATAATTGAATATTTAAATGAATATAAAAATTAATTAATTTATTATTGTTAATAAAATAGTCAAATATACAAATGAATACATTATCATTAACTAAAATATATAATAATATTTAAATATACATTGAAATGTATTAATAAGGTTCTATCAAAAAAATTGTCATAAAATAAACTATTAGTAAATATTATAAACTTATAAATACACACATTATTATTTATAATGAATTTATTGAACAATTATAATCAAAACATTTATCTAAACAAAACAAAAACTTATAATCAATACAAAACAATTATTTATTGCAAACATAAAGTTAACAAAATAAATATTTACTAAAATATTTATTTTATTTTAATAATAATTTTATAAATTTTTTGGAGCATTTATTGATGCAAAAATAATACATTTAATAATCCTATTTATACAAAAAGTAACAAATATAAGATACAGATGAAAATATATTATAATTATTTTACCATATAAATTTCAGAGTAATGCATATTAAGTTTATTTTTATAAAAAAATTGTAAAAAATAATGTTTATATAAGATACAAATATTAATATAATATTGTTTTAAAAATGTATTTTATGATATTTATTTTATTGCATATAAATTGATAAATATTGTTTTTTACACATTATTTTATATATATTTGTAAATTTTAATGATTTTAATAATAAAACAACTTGTAGCACATATATGAACATAAAATTTTATTTATTTATTTGAAAAATTATAAATTTTATTTATTATTAAATTAAAAAACTAACAAAATAAAAAGTATATTAGTATTAAATTTTAACTAACGTATATCAACGAAAAAATATTTAAATATTATATAATTTGTATATTGAGATAATTGTTTTTTAAGTAAATTTAAGTTAAAAAAAATACTAAATTTAAAGTAATAGATTATTTTAAACTTATATAAAAAATTACTTTATTACAATTATACTATGTGCTTATGAGTAATGTGAGTCATGTAATTATAATTGAAATGTCATAAAAGTAAATAATTTATAATAGAAATATAATATATTGGTTTTAATTTAATTTCTAAAATGATAGATAAAAGTGATGATAATTATCAAAGTCAGTGCTGTAAAATGAAACTCTACTGAAACAGAAACCAAAAACTGATTTGATATCCAATACAAAAAAAATTGTAAACATTTTTGTTGATTTTGATTTATCGGATATAGGATTTAATACAAAATCAGTTAATACATTTAAGTCATATCAACTGATCTCAAGTTCTAAGCATTACTTGCCTTTAAATTTACTATCAATGTCAAGTCTGTTGTTTTCAGATATTAATCTCAGATTTAGGAATTTATGGCAAACCAAATACCAATCAAACAGACACTAAAGTTTTGACAACTAATAAGAAAACAACACAATTTTCAAGTGATTTTTCGGAGACATTTTTTCTGATCTTATTGCCAAAGAAAATGCTTACCAAAAATCAAATGATTCGACAATTGATTTCAACAATTTATCAAAAGAAATGGCATTAGACGACGAGTTATTTAACGATAATATTTAAACTAACTATAAATTTGATTGATTTGAAATCGCTTAGAGAAAATATAACTAATAAGTAGTTAAATCCGATAAAATTAAATATTAAAATTTATGTATTAAAATTAAAAAAAAGTGCTAAGAAAAATTAATTCATTTAATTATATAATATTACATTTAATTAATTAATATGAAATTTTTTGTTTAAATTTAATTTCATTGTTCAACAAAAATACAACAATAAAATACGATTAATATATCATTTAATTATTTTATTTGAGTACTCTTAAGTTATATAATAATTAGTTTATTAACTAACAATTAAAATCATATTTGATTCTATTGTAATATAGATACTATTTTTCTAACTAACTAACAGTATAGTTATATAGTTATATAGTTAAAAAATGTACCATAATATTTAGTACGTACTAAACATTTTAGTACGTACTAAATATTTCAGTACGTACTAAATATTTCAGTACGTACTAAAGTATACTCTATTTTAAGAGACATTTTAGTACGTACTAAAATGTTTAGTACGTACTAAATATTATACTGCATTAGCCATTCATATACAACATTACGATTTATTTTTGACTACACTAATGCCACCTGGATAAGGCACATGGGAGCATCTATTCTAATGAACATTATTTTTATCAATTACTATATATGTTTTTGCACTTTAAGTACAGTTTAGTACAAAATATACATATTATTTATAAATTAAATTATTTATAATTATTATTATTGAATGTTATCTACTAATTATTGGAATTTTAATAATTATTATTAAGAAAAAAATAAAACAAATTATTAAACTAAAAAAAATTAAACTAACAATTATTTTTCCAATACTAATTATCTAAATTAAATAAAAATTAAATTTATTTTTTTTAAATTAATTAATTAATTAATAATTTTTAACTATTTACATGCTTAATAATTTTTAAAAATTATATATATATACTGTATATTTTAATTCAATTTTTAAAAAAATATTTAATAAATTAAGCATGGTGGTGCAAATGCACTAAAATTTAGTGCATATGGGTAAAAATATAATATATAATAGTATATAAATTTTTAGTACATAATAGTGCAATTGAAATGTAAATTGGTATCATATTGTAATATATAAATTATTTATCAAGTTTTATATACAGTATTGTTGATTATATTAATATATATATATATATTAATCAAAAAATTGTTAGTGATGTAAAACAATTATGAATTGTATGATTTTATATTTATTAATGTATGTGTTTGAAGTATTTCTAAAAAAATTATTAATAATATTAATATTATTTTAAATATTCTGATAATATCTGCTATAATAAACTTTTTTAAAAATTATTACAATGTTAAATTATAATAATTTAACCAAGATCAACTATAATAATTTTGTTGTTGTTTTCATTATAATAATAATAAACAGTCAAAATTTATTATTTTATATTTTAAACTTTACATTTTAACATAATGTGTTGATTAAAAATATAAAAGATAATGTGGCATCAAACAATTAATTAATTAATTAATTAATAATAATAATTAGTATATTTTAATTAAAATATATTTTTAAATTTCCCCCCATCTAATTTATAATTTAACAACTCTAGTTTTTATTTTATTGTTGTTACTTAATATTAATGGGTGTTATTTAAAAAATAAATAAAATATTTTTTTAATTGCGTTTATTTCTAGTAACTAATAATCTAATCACACATTTATTAATACAAATATAAGTCATTACTATTATATATTTATTTTATTATACATACGTATTAAACATTATAAACACTAATACAAGTTAAATAACTATAGTTTTTAAAAAATTATTGATAAAATTTGATAATTTCTAAACATTATTAAACATTGATAATAATATTATATATATATATATAATTTAAAGTATATAAATACTATTGAAAAAAATTATATTTATTAATTGTCAAATATTAACAGTGTGTTTAATAAATAAACAAAACAAAAAATTAAATTATTTTAATTTATGTGTTAATTAAATATTATTATTTTTTTCTAATTCAATTCAATTAATTTAAATTAAATAAATATCAATAATAATAATAATAATGAGTTGTTTAAGTGAGTTATTAACAAATAACTCATTTTTAATATTATCAATCACAACGATAATATCAATTTTAACATATTATCATTTGTAAGTATAATATTAATTTTAAAAAAAAAATTATAATTAATTAATTAGAAAATAATTATTTATACTAAAAAAATTAAATAACAATTATTATTAGATTTATTTGTTGTTTATTTTAGATTATAAATAATATTTATTTATTAATTTTATTAATTACAAAATATTATATATTAATTATTAATTTTTTTGGTCTTATAATAAATATTATTTTTAATTAATTAAATAGCAAATGGAGTCGAGCACTAAACTATTGGAAATCACGTAATATTTCGGGACCCAAACCGTTACCCATTTTTGGCAATCAATTATCCCGTTTTTTTCAACCATTTCCTACTGTCGAACTAGACTTGTATAAAAAGTTTGGCAAAATTTTCGGGTAAATATATTTTTATTTATTTTATTTTAGTTGTTTTAAAAAATTCTAGTAAACAATTCAAAAAATCTTAATAGTATAAAAATATATATATTTTGTTTTCTAATTTATATTTCTAACATATTTTTTTAATATAATATTTTTAAAGTTAGTTWGCAAAAAAAAAATAATAATAACAAAATAAAWTAACATAAATAAAGTATATTAAAGTAAATAATAGTAATTATTAGTAATTAAAGTAATAAAGTAAATAAAGTTATTAAAAAAAWTTTTTAGAAAAAAAACAACAACTAATTATTATAATKTTTTTAAACTATTTATACATACAGTAAATTAGTTATATATTTTTTAATATTAAAAATAAATAATAATAATAATAATAATAATAASCATACATTCAGTATATTATTACTTTTTTAAAAAAAATTATTAATACTATTTATATTACTATCAATCTAACTAATTATTTATATATTATTACAATTATATATATAATAAATTTATTATTTTAACAAATATTTATCACATTTACTGTATAACTAATTACTGTATTATTACAATATTATAACTAAACTATTATTATTATTATTATTATTATTATTATTATTATTATTACACTATCCAGTGTCTATGCGGGCGACAAACCCAGTCTAACTGTTGCCGACCCCGAACTGGTCAAACAAATACTGGTCAAAGATTTCCACTTATTTCACAACCGACGGGAAAATCCGACCAGACATCCGATTTTTTCGAAAAATATGTTCGCCGCTCGCGATGACGACTGGAAACGTATCCGAGCCATAGCATCGCCAACATTTACTTCGGGAAAAATGCGTAAAATGTATTCATTAATTAGGGAATGTTGTATGGATTTTGTCGAACATGTCGACCAATTGGCCACTACTACTACTACAGGTGCCGGTGGTAGTAAAGCTCAGGTAGAGCTWAAAAAATTAATGGGCGACTATACTATGGATGTGATAGCCCGGTGCGCGTTCGCCACCCATACGGATACCTATCGTCGACCGGACAACGAGTTTACCACWCGGGCTAACAATATATTTACKACACCCYTGTGGCGTATGCTAGTGTTGGGTGCACTGCCCAGTCGACTGTTTCGGGTACAATGGATCAGGCGGTTGATTATAGGTCAAGAAAATTCAATGTTTTTTATTGATGTTTCRCGTGATTTGATTGGCAAACGTAAACTAAATCCCGGRAAAAAATACAACGATTTCTTGCAGTTGCTTATGGATGTCGAACGACCMGATGATAATGATAGCAATGAGCACCGGGAGGTCAAYAACGATGATGATAACGAAGCTCATCACGTACTGGAAACCGGTGAAGACGAGCTCCGGGCTAAACGTCAAGCGCTGGTCAATGTTGTCGAAAAAAAGTTGACCGAAAACGAAATMCTWGCCCAATGTTTCCTGTTTTTCATTGCCGGCTACGAAACAACGGCTACAACACTGTCCTATTGTGTCTACGAGTTGGCACTGAATCCCGGATTACAGGACCGACTGTATGGGGAAGTCAGTCAAGTGTTTGACTCCGATGGTAACATCGACTATGAATTGCTATCGCGACTACCGTTTATCGATGCCTTACTATCGGAAACGTTGCGCAACTATCCGCCATTGCTGAGACTGGAACGGGAGGCTGCAGYTGATGTCAAGYTAGGCTCAGGTAGTTCAACCGTTACCATTGAAAARGGTGTAATGGCYGAAATACCGGTCTATGCTATACATCATGATCCTGACAACTATCCCGAACCGTTTAGTTTCCGACCCGATAGGTTTATGCCGGAAAATCGGTCCGGTATTAAACCCTATACCTACTTACCGTTTGGTGCCGGCCCTCGAAATTGTGTCGGGATGCGATTTGCACTGTTAGAAGCTAAGCTAGCACTGGCCCAACTTAGCAGGCGATTCCGATTTAGTCGGGTCACGGATACGGATGTACCCGTTGTGTTCAATAAGGGTCGGTTCCTATTGCAGGCCAATCGCTTGGTGGTCGGCATAGAGAAGCGGCGATAATAATAATACAGTATATATACCAATATATTATTGGTATTATTATTATTATAGACTACATAAGCTATTAATTGATTTGTTTTTATTATTATCTTAAAATATATTTTTTTCTATCTATATATATTTGCCAATATATTTATAACTTTATACAACAACAACACCATAAAAAAATTAATTATAGAAAAAATATTTTATAAACATTTTTTGTACATTTAAAATGAAAAAATAATAATTATAGAAATAATGTATTTATTATTATTGATATTTTAATAAACTGTTTAATAAAAAATAATTGACTTTAAAATAATAGACATTTTTTAAATTTATTTATAGTTTTTATATATTAGTTTATTTACCTTTTATTCAATATATTTATTGAAAATTATTAATTGCAAAAAATACTAAATAATAAAAATTTTGCTAAATTTTTTTATTATTAATTGATTATTTATTTTAAAATTATATCTATTGTATTTTTTTAAATAAATAAATTTAATTATTAATAATTTACATTTTACATTATAAATAAATTAGTATAATTAGTATAATCATAAACTGTAATAAAATAATTAATTCAAATGTTAGACTGTATTTAATATATTAATATTTAAGTTTATTATTGTTAAAGCATATAAATAGAAATATTAATTTATAAAAAAAAAAATAATAATTAAAACTTTTTTGTAAAACTTATTAGTTTATTAACTTTTTATTAACTAAATTAAATAAATTTYTAAAAATTGAATCAAATATTACTACACAWACAAAATAATAATAATAATAATATAAATTACATTAAATTGTCGACTAATAGTAATAATTAATAATAAAAATATTTAATGATAAAACAATTTACAATAAAAAATGTGCTAAAWTTTTTTATTAAACTTTAGGTTTTATTTTTATCAAATGGTATTTAGCAAAAATATTTTTTAATTAAGTTTTCTTTTAAAATTTTAACAACTAATCTAATCAAACATTATTAAATCCCAATTAATACTATTAATATAAAATAATTAGGATATATATACAGTATTTTTTTAAAAAAAAATAAATCAACTATTACAAATAATAATATTATAATAATAATATTGATTAGTTAAATAAAATTTAATTGTCTATTTAAAAAAAAATTATAAAAAACATGCATATTAAAAACTTATTAATATAATTACTAGTGATAGATTAACTATTAATTATAAAAATTAAATCAAACTATACATAATGTGTTTATATTTAACAAGGCAAGTTTTTTTTATTAATTAAAAACAAATTATCAAGGGGATTTAGTAAAAAATATATTAATTGAATAACTAGTATAATCTAATCACACACACACACACACACACACTTTATTAAATACTATTATATTWAATATAATYTAAWTATATATACAGTAATATGTATTATCATTATTACTTGTAATAATAATAATAATAATAATAATTTTTTWYATAWAAATAGTTTTGAACGTTTACTGTACGTAAACTGATTATTATTATTGTACACTAGTTTATGTAATATTTTATAATAACTATGGTTTTTTTAAATGTGTGATAAATAAATAATATAAATAGATATCATATTTAAAAAAAATATATAAATACTACTGTATAAATATATTGATATATATATATATATATATATATAGTAGTATATTTGTTATGCAATTGTCATTGAAAAAAATATATGTGTTTGTTTTGCAACTAAAAAAATAATTTATAAATAATAAAATAGTTTATAAAAATTTATATTTAAAAAAAATTTTAAAAATATATTAATTAAACAAAATGAATTGGTTTAATCAAATTATATTATTATTAACCACTACTATAATATCAATTATAGTATATTATTATTTGTAAGTATAAAATATAAGTTTTTTTAAAWAAATAAATAAAATTAATAAAATAAAATTTTAAGTAAATAATATTTATTATTATTATTAAAATTATATAAAAATTAAATGTTTTYAATAATATATATATAATATATTTTTTAATTTTACTWATTATTATAGCAWATGGAGTTCAAYTTTTAGCTATTGGAAGTCACGAAATATTTCGGGACCCAAACCGTTACCCGTTTTTGGTAATATATTATCACGATTTTTATGGCCATTTCCTACTGTCGAACTAGACTGGTATAAAAAGTTTGGACAAATTTACGGGTATKTTRTAACAAAATTATAATAATATATTTAATAAATATTTTTTAAAAAAAGATTCATTTACACTATTATCTAATTATATAARCATTTTATTAATCATTATATATTTGTAACACTAGTTATAATTAATAATTTACAGTTTTAAAAAAATATATAATATAGTTTAGCTAACAAAAAAATAATTTAAATTATTTAACAATTAAATCATTAATAATAGTTATAAAATATTTATATTAATTATCAATAAAATAATAAAATCATTAATAACAACAACAATTAAAAATCTAACTAATTATATATATATATATTATAAGTATTATTAAAATTTTTATATATAATATAAATATATAATAATATATATATTTTTTAACAAATATTTATTACATTTACTGTATAACTAATTACTATATAACTTATTACTGTATTATTAGAATATTWTAACTAAACTATTAKTACATAAYTATATAACTAAACTATWAYTACAATACAATATTTAACTAAACTATTATTACAATATTATAACTAAACTATTATTACATTATTATAACTAAACTATTAATAATAATAATATTATTATAATTACACAATCAGTGTCTATACGGGCGMCAAACCGGGACTGACTGTCGCCGATCCGGATCTAATCAAACAAATACTGGTCAAAGATTTTCATCTATTTCGCAATCGTCGGGATACCGGTAATCGGGATCCGATACACTCGAAAAGTATATTCGCCGCACGCGATGACCACTGGAAACGTATCCGTGCGATAGCATCGCCAACATTTTCGTCGGGRAAAATGCGCAAAATGTATTCATTAATCAGGGAATGTTGTCTGGATTTTTGCGAACACATCGACARCCAGTTGGCGGTGACTACCGGTGCCGTCGACRSCAGTGGTGGTAGTAGTGGTGGTAGTAGTGGTGGTAGTAGTAGTGGTAAAGGACAGGTAGTWGAGCTGAAAAAATTGATGGGCAACTATACAATGGATGTGATAGCCCGGTGCGCGTTCGCTACCCATACGGATACCTACAGTCGACCGGACAAYGAGTTTACTACACGTGCTAATACTGTATTTGATATACCCGGCTGGCGTATGCTTGTTTTCAGGGTAGTGCCGCCCAGTCTATTCAAAATAGGTTTTATACGTAAATTGATAATCACCCAGGATCATTCACAATTTTTTATTAAAGTATCACGTGATTTGATTAGCAAACGTAAACTAAATCCACAGGTTGTATACAACGATTTTCTACAGTTGCTTATGGATGCCGAACGTCCTGCAGATGATAATAGTACTGAACAGCACCGGGAGGTCAGCAACAGTGATACCAGCGAAGCACATCACGTACTGGAAACCGGTGAGGACGAGCTCCGGGCTAAACGGGAAGCACTGGTCAATGTTGTCGAAAAAAAACTGACCGAAAACGAAATACTTGCCCAATGTTTCCTRTTTTTCATTGCCGGCTACGAAACTACAGCTACAACACTGTCCTATTGTGTCTACGAGTTGGCCCTAAATACGGAACTACAGGACCGACTGTACGCSGAAACCASTGCAAGTGTTTGACAGTAATGGCGATATTGATTATGAGGTGCTATCGCGTCTACCGTTTCTYGACGCWRTACTATCGGAAACWCTGCGCCATTATCCGCCAGTGCTGAGACTGGAACGGGAGGCTGYAGCTGATGTACAATTGGGCAGCGGCACCGGTAGTTCAAYCATAACCATTGAAAAGGGTGTGATAGCCGAAATACCGGTCTATGCTATACATCATGATCCTGACAACTATCCCGAACCCGATAGTTTCCAACCGGATAGGTTTATGCCSGAAAACGGTCCGGTATCAGACCCTATACCTATTTACCGTTTGGTGCCGGTCCCCGAAATTGTGTCGGTATGCGATTTGCACTGTTAGAAGCTAARCTAGCACTGGCCCAATTGAGCCGGCGATTCCGATTTAGTCGGGTCACTGATACGGATGTACCCGTTGTTTTCACAAGGGGTCGGTTTCTATTGCAAACCAATCGTTTGGTTGTCGGCATAGAGAAGCGATAATAATACAGTATATTATTGGTATTATTATTATTATAGACTACATAAGCTATTAATTGATTTTTATAAATTATTTTTTAAAAATATATTTTTTCTATCTATATATATTTGCCAATATATTATAATTTTATACAACACAACTTAAAAAAATTAATTATAAAAAAAATATTAATTTATTAATTAAAATAATAAATATATTTTAAATATTAATATAAATATATAAATTAAAATAATGTGTTATTTAGTATTTCAATCATTTCAACATCAAGTTTATTACTAAAACGTTTTAATTATTTAAATTTTAATTAATCAAAAAATAAAAAATTATATTTTTTTTCTTTGTTTTAAATTTATAAGTTTTAATATATATATATTAATAAATTGTTTCAAAAAATTCAAAACGTYTTAATTATTAACTAATTAATCATAAAGAAATAATAATAATAAATTTTATTTTGTTTTTAATTTATAAAATTTAAGTTATAATATATATTAATTAATAAATTGTTTCTACAAAAAAGTAAATATTAATATATTTTCATAATTATTAAACTAAATAATACTTATTTTTCAAAATTATTTTTAAAAACCGTTTACTTAATAAATTAAATAATTTTTTAGAAAAACAAATGTACATTGAACTATTTTTTTTATTTTATTTAAAAAATAAAATTATATATATATATATATAAATTTATATATATGTAGCAATTTAGTACCATTTATTAATCATTGAATTAAATTGCATACTATAATGAAATTTAATTATTATTATTATTTTAATTAACTATATATAAAAATTTCTATACTATGATCAAGTACATTTCAAGTGCAAGTTTCAGTCAATACTCTATAAAAGTAGTATATATATATATATATATATATATATATATATATATAATAAATATAAAATTAAATTAATATTTTTATTGATTAATTTTAAATAATTATAATTTAAATTATTATTTTTTTATAAATAATAATTGAATATTTTTTTTTGTTATTATAAACGTGTACACTATATGTTAGCTAAACTGTAACTAATAATTGTCAAGGTCAATTTTTTTTCCAGTACTTACTGTAGTTAAAAATAAATATTATTTAAAAAAAAACAGTTTACACTAGTTTAACTAGAAATCAAAATTTATTTGATAAAAAAAAATAAATTAAAATTTATTAAATACAGTTTAACTACTAATAGTTAAAAATATTTTTATTTTTTTAAAAATATATATACTCTTGATAATTTTTAAAAATATTTTTAAAAAAAAATTATTTACTATAAATAAGTATACTTGTATTAAAATTTAAAAAAAAAATAAATTTAAATAATACTAATAATTACTTTCCATTGAATAACATGTTAACTAACCTATTGACTAAACTATTATACAAATTCATACTATTTAACATAACAAAAAACATATAATTAACAAATAGTTATATATAAAAAGGTACCAAAAAATAGCCTGTCAACAGTTTCTATTTTACTGTATATAAAAACATGACATCATATATATATAGTCATATAATTTGATTGCTTAAAAAATACTGTTATATTCAAAACCAAAACAATAATAGCAGTCCACTAACAAACTAGCAGTGTATGTAAATGCGCGCGCGCAATATTAGTGTGCTTAATGCTTAGGGGGGGGGGTGGGCGGAGTTTTTACAAAAAGCATAAACTATATGTACACATATACAGTTATTATACACATTATTTTATATATACTGTATATATATATATACAGTATATATTAAGTATAATCTATGATATATATCTATGTGTGCGTCTACTACTACTTGTTGTTTTGGTTTAGAATATAATCAAAATTAATAATATGTTGTGTTGTTTACTGCAATCGTATGAATCAATTGAATCATACATTCATTTCAAACAAAACACTAAACACTAAACAATCGGACAAACAGTCAGTCAGTCAAGTCGTGTATATATATATATCGATCGCACCGTTAGTTTGTTTAATATTTAATAACTACTACTCAGTCGTCGTCGTCGTCAACCATCATCAGCACCGGTACGTCACAGACATACCTAAAAAAAAAAATATTGATTACTATAACTAACTGTTTACTGCATACCTGAGCGCAGACAAAACGCGACAAAACGGCGGCGTTTATAACAACTGCAAACATCCAACTAATTAAGAGACAACTGTCCACTAATAGAGGACTATTAGTACCGTTATTGAAGACAATTCAAGCACCAGTAGTAGTCAGTAATCATTGTCTACCAGTGCGCAGAAATATGGCCAACAATACTACAAATGGCGACCCGAAGTCGGCTAAAACAATGTACGAGTTTAGTGCCAAAGATTTGGACGGCAATGAGGTATTTGAGTTTTAGTAGTCACACATACCTGTCCTCTCGCTCTGTCTCTCTCTCTTTCATCTCTCGGTACTCTCTATCGAGAGCACCGATACTCACATACCTGTCCTCTCTGTTTCTCTCTCTCTCTCTCTCTCTTTCATCTCCCGGTACTCTCTATCGAGAGCACCGATAGTCACATACATGTCCTCTCTCTTTCATCTCCCGGTACTCTCTATCGAGAGCACCGATAGTCACATACCTGTCTTCTCTTTCATCTCTCGGTACTCTCTATCGAGAGCACCGATAGTCACATACCTGTCTTCTCTTTCATCTCTCGGTACTCTCTATCGAGAGCACCGATACTCACATACCTGTCCTCTCTGTTTCTCTCTCTCTCTCTCTTTCATCTCCCGGTACTCTCTATCGAGAGCACCGATAGTCACATACCTGTTCTCTCTGTTTCTCTCTCTCTCTCTCTCTTTCATCTCCCGCTACTCTCTATCGAGAGCACCGGTAGTCTCTTAATTATTGTGTTATTACTTACCGGTGCTATTGATTTGGTTTATGCTTTCGTAGGTACCGTTAGATCGATACAAAGGTCATCCGACTCTTGTAGTGAATGTGGCCTCGAGTTGCGGCCTACAGAAGACCAATACCAAACAGCTGAACGAATTGTATGCCAAATACGAGGCCCAAGGCTTGAGGATATTGGCCTTTCCGTCCAATCAGTTTAATCAGGAAAAGGGATGCGATGTCGATATCAAAGAGTTTGCTAAGAAAAACGATGTCCACTACGATATGATGAGCAAAGTCGATGTCAATGGTAATCACTGTTTACTGTAGTCTCTCTATCTAACTGTCTCTCTCTCTCTAACTGTCTCTCTCTCTAACTGTCTCTCTCTCTAACTGTCTCTCTCTCTAACTGTCTCTCTCTCTCTAACTGTCTCTCTCTCTCTAACTGTCTCTCTCTCTCTAACTGTCTCTCTCTCTAACTGTCTCTCTCTCTAACTGTCTCTCTCTCTAACTGTCTCTCTCTCTAACTGTCTCTCTCTCTAACTGTCTCTCTCTCTAACTCTCTCTCTCTCTCTAACTGTCTCTCTCTCTAACTGTCTCTCTCTCTAACTGTCTTTTTAACTTTTTTTTTCTCTCTCTCTCTCTAACTATCTCTCTCTCTCTAACTCGCTATCTATCTGTCTGTCTTTAAGAGAGAGAGAGAGAGGATAGCATAGAGAGTTGTTTCTGAATTAAAAACACAAAATAACTAAAAAATAATTGTTGTTTTTTAAATTTATATATTAATTAACAAATTGTTTTGTTTATTTTTCGTTGTTGTTGTTGGGCACCCACCACCATCACCACTGGTGTAGGCGAATCGGCACATCCAGTATACAAATGGCTTAAGAATCAGCAGGGTGGCTTCATATCCGATGCCATCAAATGGAACTATACTAAATTTTTGGTCGACAAACATGGCATACCTATCAAACGTTATGCACCAACGGTTGAACCCAAAGATATCGAGAAGGACCTGAAGGCCCAGCTCTAGACAGTTGGTTAGTAGAGAGAGAGAGAGGCTAACGGTTCCCACTCTCTCTCTCTCTCTCTCTCTACCACTCTCTTCCTCATTGATTATTATATTTACTGATAATATATAGTATATTATATATATATATATATATATATACCTATCCATAGGTATATATATATATATATATTAAAATATATATTGATATTTATGTGTCACATATACAATGTGTTTATATACCGGTATATATTTACCGATATTCTAGTTATGTATTAATTAGTGATTTATTATTATTATTATTATTATATTTAGATCCCTATATATATATATATATTATATATTTTTTTTAAAGATCTATTCAAAGATTATTTAACCAAATTTATTACATTATTATTATAATAATAATTATAATGTGTATTCAATTATATATTTATATAATTACCGTAATATATACTACAATATATGCAACTATTATTATTATTATTATTATAATAATAATTTATTTGTTTAATTATATATATATATATATATATTGATATATATTTTATGTTTTTATTGTTGTACTGTATTTATAATTATACTGTAATAATAATTCAATAATTATAATTGTATAAAATGAGAAAATAAAATATGTTATTATTATATATTAAATAAATAGTTTTTTTTATTACACAAAATAAAAATAGTTTTAATAGTTTTAATTTTTTTGTTGTTGATAATTTATGATAATATATATTGTCATTAATTATAATAATAATAATAATAAAAACAAACAAAAAAATACAATTACTGTTATTATGAAATAGAGAAATAATTTATCATTTTTAATGAAAAAAAAATCAATATTTAGTTTATTTTAAAAATTATTTTTATTATTTTCAATATATATATATATTTTTATTAAATATTACGGTAAATACCGTTAATTATACAAAATTGTTTTTTTTGTTGACTACAATAAATTGACTAAGCTAAGTTATTTTTTAGAAAAGCTAAATATTAGCCAAAAAAATATTTATATATATATATATATTGTACTGTATTTTTAATATACAAATTGATTTCAGGTATGTGTGTGTATCACAAAAAATATATTATTTAAAAAATACATTATTTTCAAAAAAAAATTATTTATCATTATTATTATTTATTTATTTATTGACTATTATTATCCATTTATTATAATTAAATAATAATAATAATATAATTTTTTTTTCTGAAACAAATAGAAAAATAAATTAAAAAAAAAAATAATAATAATATCATACAAACAAAAACAAAATTGCATAAAAATTATCATTTAAAAAAAACACACACAAACATAATTAACAAAAAAAATAATAATAATAATTCAAAAATATATATTAATTCAAATCTATATATCAATAATAATAATAATAATAATAATAATTGAGATTTTAAAAAATTGTTTAGAATTTAATTAACAATTAAATAATTAATTAATTATTTATTTATTTTTTTTAATCACTAAATAATAGTATCAATAGTTTTTATTAAAGCTAATGAGGGGGAAGACTGACTTGACTTTTCAAATGTAGGGTATATTAGTAGTACTTATTGATTAGGACAGGGAGGTAGGTATCATCAACTACAACAACATACCATTCCTCCAACACATACATAGTCACAACAAACAAACAAACAATAAGCACAGTTAGATTTTTTTAAAAAAAAAATAACATATATATAATCTCATCACTGTTTAGTATCCATATAGTCGTAACGCCAGTCGCGTAACGGTATGTATGTTTGTTTGATTGTTTGCGGTGAACACCACCGAAGCAAATAGTGTGGGGCACCGGCCTTATCATTGGTACCCGATAGTCGTCCGCCGCCAAACGGTTGCTGACCGACAACAGCACCCGTACACTTGTCGTTGATATAGAAATTGCCGGCCGATTGTTTCAGCCGTTCGGATGCCTGTTCGAGAAACTTCCTAATAATCAACAAAATAGCAATAATGGTTAACCTCCCGGTGCTAATAACAACAACAACAGTGTACAAACATACTTATCGGTAGCAAACAGTGCACCGGTCAGTGCAAAACCGCTGGTACGGTCGCACAGGTCGATAGCATCGTTGACTTTACGGGAGTCGTACACATAGACAGTCAGGAGGGGACCGAAAATTTCTTCGCGAATCAGTCGCGACTGCGGGTCATTGGTTTCGATGATTGTCGGTTCAATGAAATAGCCGACACTGTCGTCSGTATGGCCGCCGCCCAGTATCTGATGACTATCGGGCGAATTCTTAGCTTCGGTAATATAGTCGCGGATCGTATTGAATGAGTTACGATCGATAACTGCCGACAGAAATGTGTCGAACTCGAGGGGCGAACCGAGTTTCAGGGCTGACCTAACTTCYAGTAGACGTTCCTTAATCTAGTAGGTAATGGTGTGTCTGATAGGATACATACATACAGTTACGGTTAAAAGTAAAACTACTGTTTTTTTTATTGATATCACACCCCTATCTCATACCTTTGGCCAGCGATTGTCCGGTACGTACAGTCGTGAACAGGCCGAACACTTTTGGCCGCTATACTCGAACGCCGCCCGTATAGTCTGGGTGACCACTGTGTCCAAGTCGGCCGATTCGTGTACAAAGTGATAGTCTTTGCCGCCGCACTCGCCAACCCTAGAGAGAGAGAGAGAGAGAGAGAGAGAGAGATGAGWTGATAAACATTTTAGGATAAGCGCCAAACTATTCAGACACATACAGTCGAGGAAAGCCRTGATTTTTATCTAAATTGTCGGCCACTGTACGCCAAACGTTGCGGAAAGTGCCGACACTGCCGGTAAAATTGACGGCCGCCAAGTGTTCAGATGTTAGGACATTCTGGCCGAATGCCGGTCCACTCGAYGGCAAAAAGTTGATAACACCTACACAWGAGAGGTAYGGGTGTAGAGAGAGAGAGAGAGAGAGAGAGAGTATTAATATAACTTATCAATCAATTAGCTCAATATGATTACGCACCGGGAGGTACGCCAGCTTCTTCAAGTATCTGATAGATAAKCCAATTGCTTARTACGGCCGTACCGGCCGGTTTCCATAGGACAACATTGCCCATCAATACGGGTGCTGAGCTAAGATTGCCGCCAATKGCGGTAAAATTGAACGGCGAAATTGCGGCCACAAATCCTTCGAGACCSCGRTAGCGAAACTGATTGCTAGTCAGTTCCGGTCGGGGACTTCGGGGCTGATATTTGTACATATCTTTAGCGTACAGTGCATTGAATCGTAGAAAATCGGTCAGTTCGGCGGCCGCGTCGATCTCTGCCTGGATTACTGTCTTTCCTGTGGAACGGGAGGGGAACGGGAGGTGTCAATAATTAACAGTTAAAGAGGGGGTGGTGGGATGGGGTGGGGGCATACATACCCTGRCCAAGCATTGTGGCGGCGTTCAAGTCCTGCCTGTATTTGCCGGCAATCAGATCGGCTGCTCTCAAAAATATACGAATACGTTCACTGATGGGTAGGGCCTCCCATTCGCGGCGTACCCGCTGCGACCCGTCAATTGCCTCACGAAACTGGCCAGAATCGGCAAAATAGTATTTGGCCACCCGATGTTGGTGATCGTAGGGCGAGCACTGGTATCTAACCTATTATTATGTATGGAGAGAGAGAGAGAGAGAGACAGAGAGATAGAGAGCACAGGTAGTTAAATAATAGTAGGTTAGGCCCTAACTAACTGACTGGACTGACTGACCTCATCGCTGGTCAATCGTTTGCCATTAATGACAATCGGTATTTCAGTAACCCTTGTGTTATACTCCTGGAGCTTAAGCTCCAGTTCCTGTCTCTCCCGGGAACCGGACTTATACGACAGTATCGGTTCGTTTTCGACATCAAACTCTTCAATCTGTGGTAAACGTATGGTAGGTATGGCTGTATTGTCGATGACTATGGTGTTCCCCTTGGATACRGTAGAGGACAGACATCTAATATATTTAGCAATAATAATAATAATAATTTAAATAAAAAAAAATTAWAYATACATGTAGTTTACAAAACAAATTAATTAAATTAATATAATAATAATTACAATTAAAATTTTATTTTTTCTACACTGTCATAGTTACAGTCATATATATATATATATATATATATTAAATGACCTTGTTCAAATATATATTAATATATATTAYTATAATAGTTTACAAAAAAAAAACATATATACATACAGACATTTTATTAAATTAAAATTAATTATATTTCACATTTAATATATATTTATTACATGTGTTTAGTAATATAAATATCAATATATTATTTTAATTTTAAATAATCTTTAAATTAATTATTGTTATAAATATTTATTTAAAAAATAATAATAATAATCTATTTTACTTTGTACTATTTGATTTTTTGTTGTTGAAAAACTAAAAATCAAAAATTTATTTGCCCCTAGGCTATTTTCTAATTTCTATATGTTAATGTTATCTATTTATCTAAATGGACAGGTAGGTAGTTTCCACAAGGTCATACATACAAACATAACTGTTTTTTTTTTTTTAAAATATTTATTATTTAAAAAAACATTAAAAACTGCATAATTATTAGCATGTTAAATTTTTATATACAATTATATAAATTTATAAATATTTAATTAAAAATATAATAATAATAATAATAATAATATTTAACTAACCTACTAGCACCATTAAAATAATTACTAAAAATTTTTATATTTTTTGACCGGCTCAATATTAATAATTGATTAGCCAGATAAAATTTAGTAGACAAATTTTTTATCATTATTGTTTAATTAATTAATTAATTATTARGTTTATTTCATAACTAGTTTTTAAAAAAATAAAATAAAATTATTATCAAATTATTATTATTATTGTTAAAACACTTATAWTTAAAATAAAACACTTATAAAAACAATTAACTAYTAAATAATACTATCAATTGAACAAATATTTACTTAATTATTATTAGTTATTATGTATTTTATTTGTATTACTTGTAAAAACTTGATTAATATTATTACTATAACATGTATTTAACAAACTGTAAATTTTTTTWTTTGCGATAATATCACTGATAATAATAAATACCAATTGAGAGGCCATGTAATTGTTGTGTACATTAATATATTTACATACAGTGTATATAATATACAATGTTTTTTTTCAGCCAACAAAAAATAAATAACAATTAACCATGCATATATATATATATATTTTTTTTTAAATAAATAAATAATCTAATTCAATCAAAAATTTTAGCAATTAATTTTTAGATTCAAAATTTAAAAATAAATAAATAATTTTATTAGATTAACATTTTATTTTTATTATTAAATTATTTATTAACTATTATTATTACACACACAATAAAATATAGTATAAATAGACTTAACTGTATTGTACTGTATATCTATATTATGTAACATAACAACTACTGTACATATTAGACGTTATCTATGGTATGGCCTATTAAATGTCTAATATAAAAAATTGTACATGTATATTTTGTATATATATATATATACTATATATAAATGTACATGTACAATTTGTATAGACATTTATATATATAATAATAATAATAATAAGACTTTATTGGCATCACTTTCAGTTATAAAACTGGTATACATAGTAAGCCATAATAGACTTTAATAATTACAACAATGAAATAACAATAAATATGAAAATTAAAATTAAAATTATAAAATAATTAAGAAAAATTAGATATTATCAAAATTAAAATTTTTTAAATAATTTTTAAAATCTTTAAGAGTTTGTGATTCTCTCATATAAAGCGGTAAATTATTCCAATGTTTAACTCCTTTTACAAAAATGCTGTTTTGAATATAATTTTTATTAATTTTCGGTAAATTAATATAATGTGAATCACGTCCCGCTCGTGAACTAGTACGGTGTGTGTTGTATTTAAACAAAATTGTTGAGAGATTACACACTAATCCATTAATAGCTTTATATATATAAATTAGTGAATTATATTTAACAGAATTTGTAAAAGAAATCCAATTTAACTTTTGAAACAAAGGTTGAGAATTATCCGTAAAACTTGATTTAGTTATTACTCTTGCAAATCGTTTTTGTAGTTTTATTAACGGATCTAAATGTGTGTTATATGTATATCCAAATAATATACATCCGTATTCTAGTTTTGGTTTAACAATAGATTTGTAGATAAAATTTAATGTTTTTTCAGGTAAAATATGCGCTAATCGTGACAATAATTTTAGTCTAGTGTTTAAACATTTACATAAATCATTTATGTGATCATTAAAGTTAAGCGAGTGATCAATAGTTAGTCCTAAAATTTTTGTTGATTTTACTTCAATAATAAATTTTTCGTCAATTTTTACATTAATGTTGTGATTACATGTTTTTCCCATAACAATAAAATTGCATTTTTTATGATTTAATATAAGATAATTACTTTTTAACCAATTATTAATTTTTGATAAATCACTGTTTACTTTAGTTTGAAGTTTCAAATTGTTTTTTGCTTTAATTATAAGAGTCATATCATCGGCAAATAGATATAACTTTCCATTTAGCTGTAGATTTGTTATGTCATTCATAAATATGTTGAAAAGTAACGGCGCTATACATGAGCCCTGGGGAACACCTATATCTGAAACCAATGGTTTTGATAATTTATTATTTATAGTTACAAATGTATATCGGTTTTTAAGATATGATTCAAACCATTTAATTGTATTGATATCACAATAGTTTTTTAGTTTTTCAATTAAAATTTTATGATTTATAACATCAAAAGCAGATTTTAGATCAAATGTTATTAATATAGTTTTTTCATTATTATTTAGTCCATTAGTTATATCATTTAAAATAGATATTAATGCATCATTTGTTGAATGTTTAGCTTTAAAACCAAACTGATAATTGGATAATAAATTGTTTTCATTTAAAAAATTACGAAAATTTATTTCAACAAACTTTTCAAATATTTTGCCAAAAATTGATAATAATGTGATTGGTCTATAGTTACCAGGTTCACTTTTTAGTCCTTTTTTATATATGGGAATAATTTTACCTATTTTCCAATTATTAGGATAAATACATGATTTAATAGAGTTGTTGAATATATTAATTAAATGGAAAATAAAACAACATCTAAATAATTTTAAAATATTTGTTGAAAATCCATAACAATCTTTACTTTTTGTATTTTTCATATTATTTATTATTTTATTTAAAGTATCGTCTGAAGCGTACGGAATTTTAAACTTTATATTGTTATTATATTATATAGTATATTATATTATATATATATATAAATACAGATAATAAATGCATATTCAAAAAAATACATTATAATGTTGTATTGCAGGCAAACATTACATTAATATATTACTAGTAATTGAATACATTTAACAATAGTTAACATTTTTAAAATATTTTTTTTTGAAAATTATTATTTATGTTAACTATTTAACTATGGATAATATATATGGCTAGTATAACTAATAGTAGTATCATATACTATAATTTTTTTATAAAAAAAWGTGCAAGCTAAATTATTATAAAATAATAATAAAATTAAAAAATATATATATATTTGACACTAATATAAATAATTAATAAATTTTTAAAAATTATTTTTTAATTTTTTTATATGAATAATTAGTAGCATACAGTATTATCTATAGTTGTTAAAAATAATATAATTTATAAAACTTATATAAAATTTTAAAAATATAATGCATTTATAATTTTTTTTATGTTATTTTATATATTTAAAAAAAAATTGTAATATTACACTTGTAATTGTATATTATATAATATAATATGCATATATTTATTATAATTATTTTWAAAATATAAAAYTAATAGTATTTTTATTTTAATAAAAAATAAGTTAAATAAAYWAAATAAYAAYCTAGCTAATTAATTAATATTATCATTAAGAAAAAATGCCATATTATAAAAATATCAATMAATTATTATCATTATTATTACAATTAGTAATTTTCATAACTATTATTAACTATAGTTATGTAAATAATTTATTAAYTATTAAACATTATCCAAATGTTACGCAACCCATGTGCGGAATCGGTAGACAAGCGCTTATCCAAACCGGTCAATGTCTACACTCTAGTAATTATAATAATAATAATAATAATAATAATATTCAAATGGGACGGGTAGCTGAACCGGGAGAGATGCCATGGGTTGTCAAACTAGTCGATACTAAAGATAATAAAAAGTAAATTTTTTTTGTTGTTGAAAAAATATTTTTCAATTTTTTTTAATATTAAGATTATTACTACTATTTTTAAAAAAAAAATAAATAAAATTAAATTAGTTATCCATACGGGACGGGAATAATATTAAACGATAGATGGATAATAACAGCCGCACATAATCTATAGTAAGYTWTTTAATTAAATTAATTAWYTAATTTAAGTAATAATAATAATAATAATAATAATAATTTAGTACTTATAATATATATATTTTTTTTAAAAAAAATTTTGCTAAAAAAATAAAATAAGTTTCAAAATAATTTTATGGTWTTTTTTTTTTAAGTCCCGAAACWCGCGATATTCGGGTAATCTATCGGAAAGGTAGCGGACAATAYAGTTTGGCCTCAACTCATTGGCCATCGGCTTATCTGACCAGCAATCAGAGTGTCCAATACGATATCGGTCTAATCAAACTTAGATCACGATTACCGATATTACAGGAATCCCGTACCAGTGGTAGACAATCATCCAATCATTGGCTAGTATTGAATAGTTTATGTTTACCCGAAAAATTTCATTATAATACGGCCAACGAGTTGGCATTGTTTTCCGGTTACGGTCGACTCGGTCACSGRGTTACCGATTGGTCGACTGTGCGATTAGGTTGGACACGGCTACTGGAGCCTATGTTTAACAATACCGATAAACAGGGTCATCTGATTGTTGCCAGACGTTATCCYCCGTTGACGGGATCGGTTGCATGCATAGTAATTAATTTAAATTAATTAATTAATTAAAATAATTTCTAACCACCCTCTCCCCCTCCCACCCTCTTCCGATCACCCCCAGGGTGATTCAGGTGGACCATTGATCCAGTATGTCGATGGCCGGGCCGTACTCATCGGTATAATTGCCAGCAAAGATAAAACTSCWAACCATTGTCCCGATAGACCCGAACATCGATTTTATTTTGTTCGGCTAACAGTCTATTTGGATTGGATATTGAAAACAGTTAATAATAATAATAATAATTAAATTATATTAATAATAATAAATGTATAATAATTTTATTTTTGTTATTAATCTTTTTAATGATCAGTTTATAATTGAAAATTTTTTTCTTAATAATATGTAAATAATTAATCAAAAAATAATAATTATAATAAATTTAATTTTAGTGATCCCTAATAGATAGTATAAAGTTTGCTATATATATATATATATATATATATATAAACAAAAATAAGTAAATTATTTCTAAAAATAAATAAATAATTAATTATTAATAAACTTTTATTACTAAAAAAAATAATCTTAAGTAAAATTATAAATATAATAATATATATATATTTATAGTTTTATAAACAATAAATAGTGCACCTGTATAAATAATATTAACTAAATTGCAATATTATTATTATTATTAATAGAGATTAATTTTATTTTTAAAATTATACATTAACTTAAACAAACAAACAAATAAATTATAATTTTGTATTTATAATAAATTAATAAAATAAATGAATAAAAA